CTTGAACGCTTCCAGGAATGGGGCATCCACAATTTCTCTGGGCAACCTGTTCCAGTGCCTCACCATCCTTACACAGTAAAGGATTTCTTCCTAATATCTAATCTAAACCTACACCCTTTCAGTTTAAAGTCATTCCCCCTTGTCCTATCACTAAATACCCTTGCAAAAAGTCCCTCTCCAGGTCTCTTACTAGCCTCCTTTAGGTACTGGAAGGGGCTATAAGGTATCTCCAGAGTCTTCTCTTTTCCAGGTTGAACAACTCCAACTCTAATGCAGAAACCTTTTGGTTTTGTCATTTATCTCAATACAGTTTTCCAGTCATGCTCCTGTAAATGACACGCTGCAGGCACTAAAGGTGGAAGCCCGGACCAAAATTCAAATTCTAGCCAACCAATTGACTTTACAGAAGGTTAAACTACCACGGGCAACGCAGCAATAAAGTGGACAGACAAGCTCTGCCTCTGGGAGAATTTGCTGTTTCTTGGCATTTCTACCCCTGACTCAGCTCAGCGGGGGTGGTAGGGGCAAATTAGCACTACTTTTGTTCTTGTCTCCCACACCTTTTGCCTGCTGCTTCACAAAACCTCCTTCAGCTGGGAGCAAAAGAGGTCAGAAATACGTATGCAGAGCAGCACATGAACCAGGTAGTGCTCCACAGGAGCACCAATCCACTCTCTGCACAGGAAGACCTTCCCTCATGCCACTCAGCCCCCACCACCTGCATTCACTGCTTCCTCTCCTCTGCCCTCCCAGGGCAGCGGCCCTACCACGATCAGCCTCTCTGATCAGGCCTCAGAGATCAGCCTTTAGAGATCAGGCCTCAGCTGCTGCATCACATCACATCTGCACATTTCACTTTGGGCCCCAGATACCACTATGCTGAAACACTGGACTTCAGGCAGGAAAGCTTCCCATTGTCTTTGGATACATTTCCAGGGACACTTACTACTTTAGGCAAAGCCAGGTACTCTGCTACTGCCCAGTGCAGCAGTCCTCTGCTGTGGGGAAATGCATTAATAAAATAATTCTGCTGTATCATTAGAGGTCAACTCGGACTAGAGCAGGTAATAAAAGATTCATAATAGCACATGAGGGGATGCACTAAATAGCCAAACCACAGCTTGAAATCATGCAAAGCTTGTTTAGATTTAGGACTTGGTTAAAAACTTGCAGTTCAGATGGTGTTTCACAGAAAAGTTTGCAATCAGCGATATCACTTCTGTACCAGCAATTTATGCTGCTTCCAGTATAAATTATGCCTTGTAGCAAGGAGTGTCCTAATAGGCATAGGTGCTCCCATGTTCAGGCCAGTAATCAAAAATTAATCCTTTTCCCTGATTCCGTTAGGAGCCCATGCCAGCTATTACTGAGAAGACATAAGAAATACTGCTGGAAGCACTTTGAAGATAACACTTTGCCCATGTTGTGACTTTCCATCCTTCGGTATTTAGCAACTCTCTAAATCTTCCTGTTAGTCAATTTCCAATCCTGTAAGGCAGCAGTGGGACCTGCAGTCATCTGTATGTTTTCAAATATTCCTTTCAAACTTTAGTTAATCTTATCTTCTGTCTACATATCAAATCTGCTTTAGGAATCCTGCTAAAGTCCAGCCTCAAGGTGCTGTGACAGCGAGTTACCCAGTCCATTTACATGTGAACAATCATTACTCACTACTAAAGGAGCTGTCAGAAATTCAATACAGGCATTGGTGCAATATTTTCAGTTTGGTTATAAAAGCATCGTCCTTTCCCCATTTAACTCCATCTTATGACTCTAACAAGAACAAAAACAACACAGACAAGTCTTCTCTGGCTGCTGAATTCCATCTGCTTTTCCATCCTTTCAGCAGCATTTGACAAAGAATTTAAATCAGATCCCTTTTTTCTGATGAGTTTAAAATTTGGCTGTGAATTTGGCCACATTCTCAGAGTGGATCTGATTTTTGGCCATCATTTTACCAGCAAGGCACATCTAATCTCAGACTTGGTGACACTGCACTCAAGCCAGCTGCTCTAGCTTTGATACAGAAGAGGCTCATTAGCATGAAGAACTTAATGATGTTTGACATATCAGATGACGTGGTCCTGCCTTTAATCTTTGTGGTCGCCAGTCCCACCAGCCAGGTAATGGTCTCAGCAGAGAGGTCAAAGAGTCTGTGTGGAGGAGAGAAAACTTCCAACACAGCCCGGTAGGTGAGATTTAGGGCATGTGCCCGGAACAGCACAAGGTGCAGGATAGGTGCGAATGGCACACTCAGCTCTGCCCTCCACCACGACACCACTGCCACTGGCATTATTGGGACATGAAGACCTATGCTCTCCACACGTGGAAAGGAGGTATCCTCTCCCAGTTTAGGTCTAAAGCAAGAGAGTACTCCTTAAGTGCTCCCACACTATTCACCTTGCAGCACCTGCAAACAGCCCATCCAGCCTGGCCCACAGCCACACAAAGCCACCACACATGGAGCACCTCCAAGGCAGAGAAACCCCACAGCTGTCGCGGGCAGTGGAACTGGTCCATCCACACGTGCCACTGCAGGGACTTGGCTCAGTGCGTATGGTCTCTTGCACTCTGCTGTACAGCCCTCCATCTGTCTTGTAATTAGGAAAACAACCCTTTTCTTCCAACTGCAGTGAAACTCTGCCCCTCTTCTTTACAAAAGGCCCTATGGACCCTCGATGCCTGACACATTCCAGTTCAAGTGGAATGAAAAAATTACTGATTTCCATCTTCTATCCTTTTGAACCACTTCAGGGACCAGAAGGCTGCAAACAAAGCAAGAACTACTATGGGGGCTGAAAATCCCTGAAGCTGAATTTTCCCACCTCTTTGATCATTCCTGGCTTTCCCACACAAAAAACTTTTCCATATATGCGGTACCTGCACTAAGAGAGCCATAAAGATTCCAGAGAATGAACGAAAAGGGCAAAACACCACTGCCCACACAGAGAAACAAATGATGGGAGGAACCAGAAGGTATCTTTTTTACTTTGCCGATTTAGCTGGCATAGGAGAAAGAATTAAAACGTCCTTCCTAATGGCTTCTGCCAGTTATTTACACAACCTACCAAATTCCACGGCTCAAATGGAGAACAAATCTCTTACTCTACCAGAAATCCCCTGCCTCATTTCAGCTAGTTATCTACTGGCACTGTAGACGTCAAATTTTGTCAACAAAATACAATGGCACTGTTGCCTACATAAACATATTTAACACCTCTTAACATGCAAACCACGCAAACAAACGATAAACTTGGCTCCTGAGCGTTCACAATGCAGCCAGTATCCAACTGCCCAGCGCTCCTGGGCACCTGCAGTCGGTCAAATTCGGTAACCAGGTAGTGGCCAGGAGTAAGCACAATTCCTACACGGGACTCACTAGTCATTATTAGTTTTAGATACTGTTTCGTAACTTGGAGAAATATTAAAGGGAGAAGTGTGTGTCTCTCGTTTAAGCGATAGAAGTAGAGGACGTGCAGGAGGGAACCGGGCAGCACAGCAGAACGCGGGGCCGGAGTTTTCACGTCTTTCAGGAGCGCGGAAGGGCTGGTACGGGGCGGGCGGTCACGGCAACACCAGCACAACCCAAGTCGCTTTCCCTCCCTGCTTCCGTGGCACTTAGGTGCTGCGGGTGCAGGACGAACCGGCGCTTCCCCGGCGCGTCCAGCACTGCGGAGGGACCCTCCGCGGCCAAGCGCCGGTGCGCTGGGGTCAGCGCGCCGGGCTCGGGGCTCGGACGGCAGCAGCACTGACAGCATCTCCGCCCGTGCGCTACCAGGCTGAAGCCGAAATAAAACGGGAAAATTAAGGCGAAGGGAGCGACCGCAGCCCCGCCGGCTCCTGGGCGGCTCCGGCTCGGGCCGGGGCGGTTGGTCCAGTCCCGGTGCCCCCCCGGTGGGGCAGGCGGCGCCGGCGGTCCGCCCGCGGGGGCGGTGGGGCGGGGAGCGCGGCGGCGGGGGGGCGGGCGCGGCAGCGGCGCTAGGGCCGCGCGTAGCGCGGGCCCGGAGGTGGGGTAGCTGCCGCCGCCCCGCTCGCCGGCAGTCGCGGGGAGGTCGCTCCGAAGTGAGGAGGCGCTGCCGCCGCCCCCCGAAGTTTGGCCGCGTCGCCCGAGACCTCCGCGCCGCAGCCCCGGCCAAGGGTGCGCTCCGCTCGCCCCGCGCCTCATGCCGCGGCCGCCGGCGCCCCGAGCGGGGCCGCCCCCGCCCTGAGCGGCGGTGGCGGGCGGGGAGCCCCGGCGGGCATCGCCCGCCCGCCGCCCCGCCGAGCGCCGG